AGCAACAGGGTCCTGGAGTTATCTGTTGTGATGTGTGAGGAGCCCCAGAACCATGGGGGAAGACAGGTATGCCTTTTTGGGGAGGGGTTGGATTGGCAGGTGGTTTCTATTGGGAGGACCTGAGACTACTGCTGCCAGCTAGAAGCTGGCAATACTGTCACAACATAGATACTAACCCTGGAGGATAGCCAAGTGCACATCAGCCTATGTTGGAGTTTTCCCACCTAAATCTTAGTCTCTCATGGTGGACACCTAAAAATCCAAAACCCACTCTACCATATATTTATACAAATACAGTAGAGAAAGAAGAGATTATTTAACTTCTCATTCTTCTCAAATCTTTCAGGCCAAATGCCCAGCTGCTGCTTTTCTTCCCAGCCAGCCCACAATCAGCTTCTCATTAGGATACTGGGAACAACTCAAGAATCAATGCATCACCCCCTCACTTCCCAGTCCTTTTGTTTGACAGTTGTGTAAAAAATGGATGGTTCCATTTGTTGTAAAATCCACTGTATTAGCCTATGTTCCATTAAACTGTGTTTTGATGAAACCACTCCCTCCCATGCTCCAAACACAGAGGCCCCGACTCTCAAGGAACTGAAAGAACTACATTTTGATGTCCTTACACAAGTTTTGTGTGTGTGTGCAGTGGAAGGAGACGTCCTTTTCATGGTGAGGAGAGAGGAGGTGATCCAATTAGGATATGCAAACCAAATAAAAACCATGAATGAGAAGGAGGAGCTGAATTTCTAGTCACTTTTCCTGATGTCTTCACAACGTGCCTAGCACGAGGTGTGCACTTTGCACAAACCACAATGGCTGAACTGCCGTCAGGAAAGGCACAAATTCTTGGATGATTCAATTAAACTAGAGTCAAACAACCTCAGCTGCAGAGTAAAAAGTCACCTCTTCCAAAGTTGAACTCAAAAGATCCAGAAATGTAATATGCAGCATCCAAAGCTGTTCACTTGAGCTGCGGCTTTAGAGATCAGAAATGAAAGGAGGGAAAACTCAGTGTGGTCCTCCATTCCTGATCACTGCCTCGAAGGCCTGACATCACTACAGCTCACCCTGTCTAGCTCCGTTCACTCATTTTATAAACTTGTGGGGAACAAGGTATTTTCTGTATACTTAGAAAGAACTGGCCCACTGACAGAACTAGCAAGATGGCTCCCATGAAGAACTGCAATTAAGGAGGATTTCTGATAAGATGGCTGTCGGCAAATGCAGTACTATACCATTTTACTTTCTCTCTCAGAAGACGTAGTCCCTATTTTTTCAAGGTTTAAAAATCATGTTAACAATAAGCAAATAGCAAGGCCAGATGCCTTTCGTGGTCAGATGGTTCATTGTTTAAAAAGCTTCAGTTTAAAATCCAAAAGATTGTTAACAGATGCAGTTTCTGGCTAGCGACTGGGAAAAACCTCCCTTAAACAAAAGAGTATGTTGTGATTGGAACTAAAAAGGGAATTACCTTTAAAGATAAGAACCACAAACATTTCCTATTTGAAAATACACCCAGCCTCACCAACAGGACATTTTTGGACCTTCCATGTAAGTTAAAAATTTTGACAGTAGATTGCTGCAGATGACAAACTATAGCTGACCAACCAGCCTCGTAATTTTTACAGATTTGTTTGGACTTTCAACAAGGCCACAGCATCCATCTCTTGCTCTCCCCCAGGTTACTCAATTAGGCAAAATTCCAATTAATTTCTTTTCTTTTCTTTTTTTTTTTTTTTTTTAGTCCCAGAAATACTTGTGCTTTTTGGCTCTGGAAATGGGTTTTCAAACAGACTTAGACAGAGAAGTTTCAGAAATGAATACAGAGCCTGATAAGCAGATAGCCACTGCTGGGACTCAAGTCACCATTGGATGGAAAAGAGCCACTTGGCTGACAAAGGCCTGGCCCTGTCTTAGGTTCCCAGTCTCTTTTGCCTCCACAGCTGCTGTTGACTTTAACACAGAAAGTCTGCTTTTCACCAACTTGTGGGTCTGTTTCCGTTGGCTTTCGTGGCCCCTTCTTCTGTGGCTGCACTATGTGTGAGAATATCTGTAATGCCCTGGGTTCTAATCTTGAAAGCTGGAAAATCTGAAGGAGCCATGGGTGTGTGGCTTTCCCTCCACCTGAGAAAAGAATGCAGTTTGGCTTGTAGATGACAAGCCTGTTTGGGAAAGGTTACTCAAGAGATGCCAGGAAAATAATGTGCTCTTAGGATTAATGATGGCCACCCCGGGCTCCATTCTGAGAATGTGCAAGCTGTCCCTTGGGAGATCACATTCCCTGGAGAGGTACACGTCATACCCTTTTCCTTACTGTGTTCTTTTTGTCATTGCGGTATTTCCCCCATTGATTATAGCACCCAAAGAAGTCAGTTTCAAACTAAAAGTATAGTATACTTTTAAAAGTCTCAGAATTCTAATCAAGAAATGATTGGCTCTCCTATCTTGCCCACTGTCCCCACTCTATCCATGTGAATCCTCTCAACCCCCACCCCCTGGAACTCTGGCCTACACCCCAGTTATTGTATGCATAAATAAATAAAATAAATTTTAAAAAAAGAAAGAAAATGTTTGGTCCAAGCCATGCTGCTAACATCCATTTTAAAGAGAGGTAGATCTATAAGCCCACAGGATTCCCCAAAGAGTAAAATGGCTTTCTGCTAAGCGGCACCACTGCTAAGTCACGTAAGGAATCCAAACTAGGAATCCAAACTGGAATGAGGCTAGCAGGAGAACTGCACTCCTCCCAAAGGTATATGCAACCTAACCAGGTATTAGCAGCAAGGACCCATCTGTCAAGAAATGGGATTCTGAGGCCAGTGGCCACATCCACATCCATCCTCTTATGAAAGCCAACCCTGCCAATGTGCACATGAGACAAGGTTTGCAAGGGGATTTGATAGGCCTGGAAATTGAAAAATGAGCAGCAGCTGCAAGCCTGAGGTCATTACTATCCTCTAGGGCTTGCCTCTTCTAATCTAAGGGGCAGTAGTTTCCATGATTAACTTTCAATTGCTGTCAAGGGTGCAATAAAATCTGGGAAAGAAGAAAACTTTCCCCCTCAATAAGCTGCTCCCATTTTTCTGCCTCTTCCTTTCCTCCAGTGCATATTTTTAATCCCTTCATATTGTTCCCTAATTGTGAGGAGGAAAAAATCTGCCCTTGGAGAAGCCAAAATAGATAGTATTCTCTGTATACACAAGACCTTGAGGATTTTTCTTTCTCAGTTCTAGGGGCACGTAGTTAGATGACTGCACTAAAAGTTCCCATTTCCAAAGACTATGCGTTATCATTGGTTTCAGTACTGAACAGATTTTAATTTTAAAATACTTTCTACCCATCATACTCTATATCTGTTTCCTCAGAGATAACAATCAGTTCAACAAAGAGAGGTTTTTTAGTGGATAAAGCAAAGAGAGAGTGAAGAAGACATCTGTTCACAAACACGTCTTACTGGTTACTACTAGGTTAGGAACCCTTAGCACCCCACTCAATCTGATGGGATAGTGAGAGTCACGCTGACAGATTACAGCTGGACAGGTCTTAGCAATGTCCCAGAACTAAACCAACACAGTTTTATCAATTACAAATGATCAGTTGGAAAATTAAATGTGCTTTAAAAATTTTGAGATTATTCAGCATAACATTAATAACAACTTGGTGGCTCATCAGACATTCACTTCAAAGCACCAGATATTGAAGTTTCAAAGATGAGTAAGACATGATGGCTCACCAGCAGAGGCATAAAGCCTGGTGGGACACACACAGGCCCACTGCTGGAGAGATGCTCCTGGAAAGGTGGTGAGCCAATTGCACAAGGCAACAGACAGGGGACAGAGGTGCTGAGAGACAGCCAGGTGGGCAAACGGAAGCATGTTAGTCACCTAAGGAGAGGTGTACTGGTACTATGCCTTGAAAAGATACTGTGTTGTTATAGTTTGTTCCCATTTGCCGGGGGCAAGAGTAAGTAAGTAGAGGGTCAGTTGCCTGTTAGAGAAAGGCACTATTTCTGGTAGGTGCCAGTCCTGCTGCCCCTCCCACTCATCTCACTGAGAGTCATGTCTCTTCAGGATAGAAGACAAATTGGCAAAAGATGGCCATGAACAGGCCTGGTTCCAAGCATGGGTGCAGGAACAGTCTAAGGATTTGCCCCAGGGTTTAAAAGATGGCAGAGTGAGCGTGATTGCAGGAGACAGATGCACAGGGTGATGCCATTACCAGGGATGCTAGGGAAAAAGAATGCTGGTGTTTCCACTGCTCCTGATATCCATCCTCTCCTTCTCTGAAGTAATAGAATCAAGTAGGGTGACCACCCAGAATAGATGTTGCATTCCTTGCAGTGAGTTGTGGCCATGTAGCTACCAATGAGATGTAAGCAGAAGGCAGGTGTATAACTCCAGGGACAATTCCTTAGGAACTTGGGGAACAGGAAAGGGTGGGAAGAAGCTTGTGCCTCATTCCCCTTTCATCCATCCTAGCTTAGCATGTGAAATGGTTGGAAACCTCCTTTGAACACAAGGACAAAGTCATACTTAGAAGTGATGAAATGGAAAGTTGTTAGAAGGTCACAGAGGACTGAGACCCCACAATACTAGTGATAAACTACGTACATCCAAACTTTTATGTAAAGAATGGGGATGGGGGCTTTGATGTTGGATGAGCCAAACAAGCCCCCACTCTGAATACCTTTAGTATATATCTACAGTTCTGGTCTCACACTTGTTACTCTACCTCCATTTATTTTGGGTCTCGGTTGCACAAGATTATAACAATGGTTACAGGTATTGCTGAGGGTTGGGGGTCATCAGTGAAGTATTGATAAAAACAACATCTAAGCAGTAGGCACTTGGTCACATACAGCACCCAGGTCACAATAGGGCACATTCAAATGCTTTTTTACATTATAAAGAACTGTCAGAATTGTGGTGATGGAAAAGAAAAACAAAAGGAATCAAAAATAATTTTCCAATGAACCGTAATCACAATGAATATCTTACCTTTTTCTTGCTACAGTATATTTGCCATTTTTTCTCAGCCGGAAGTGCAAACATAGCTTCCCTGTGTTTGTCTGTGAGGTCAAGTTCATCCTGAAAAGAAAAACAGTAATTTATTATTTCATAGACTATGTGCCATTCTTGGCCTCCCCAGTGGTGCAGCAGGTTGAGCGCAGCACTGTGAAGCTGTCTGCAGCCTCTGCAGCGCGGGTTTGATTCCCAGCCAGCCAGGGAGATACCCACATGGCGCGGCAGACCTCTCCTGTCTCGCCCACTGCTCCCCTCAGCAGTGTATTTTGGTCTGTCTGCCTGGTCTGTTCCCCACTCTGTCTCTGGTGAATCCTCTCACCTTCCCATGCCTCTGGCCTGTACCCCAGCTCTTGTATAAAAATAAATAAATCTTTAAAAAATTCATTAAAAAAATATTTGCCATTCTTACAGGGGAAGTTATCAGCATCATTGGGGTAAGACAAAAGAACCAACACATATTTAAAGGAACTCAGAAAAGATCAAGAAGCCAAGTTAAGGCACACTGAACACCGTTAAGAAAGCAAGTCCCCAGCATAGGAGTAGGCATCTAGCACAGCAAAGGGATGAGGAAGGGCCCTGCGCTTTACTGCAGGTGGTGGGAGGGGACCGAGCATGGACAGAACTCTCCTGAAACACCCATACTGCTGTTGAGGGCCCATCAAGCAGCAAAGGTCATTGAAATACCAGAGCTTAGAAGGAAGAAATCATACGATGGATGGGAGTTTGCTGAGGATAGCGCCACAAACACTGAGTACTAGGCTGGGTCTTGAAGAACTTGAATATGATGGCAGGTGGGAAAGGCCCAGAAGGAAAGGCCAGGAAGTGGTAACAGACCTGATGTGGTCAGGAGACACTGGCAGGCTTGGCTAAAATGCTCAGTTTATGCAGAGAATCATCAGAAAAGAGGTTTGAAAAGTGGGGAGAGACCAGTTTGTGGAAAGTCTTAAGTTCAGTCTAAACAATGTGTTTTCTTGACCAAGGAGATCAATCAGGTTCTGAGCCAGGGAGTTGTATCTGTATCCCCATCAACTCCAACAATATTTATTCACGCAACATACAGGCATCTTCTCATTTAGTTGCCACAAAAACCTAAGAGTTCTGCTCATTACCGCACCCTCCTTGTAACAGCAATCTTTGTTTTAATACACTGGGGAAAATTGAGCTCAGCTGAAGATCTGGTCAGTAATTTGCTCAAGACTGAAGAACAGGTAAATGATGGGGCTGGGTTTTAAGCCCAGAGTTGTTGACTCCAGAACCCAGACTCAGCCTCTCAGATCAGTGTCAGGGGACATTAATTTTACAGTGGTCTGCAGTTTAGACTGGATACTAAAGGGAGAAAATTTACAAACATCTATAACTAGTGAACAATGGGATGGTGAATATAAAATGTTTCAAGAAAAGTTACTGGCACTGAATAACTGAATCCATGGTCAATTTTATTAGTTAAGTGTCTGATACACTTTTATTGCCATAGAGAACGTTACCTTGTTGAGGGACACAGCCTGGTGGATTTGAGGCATTAAAAAAATGCTATAAATTAAAATTAAGGCACACACACACATAACCAAATGTGAAGAGCATAAACAAGCCCCCACTCTGGATACCTTTAGTATATAGCTACAGTTCTGGTCTCACACCTGTTACTCCTACCTCCATTTAGTGATCATTAATTCTTCCTGGAAAAGTCTCATGATTTTCCCTTTGTTTAATTCCTGGTGAAACTATCCAAACTTAAGCCCTAAATAACCTTTCTCTTGGCCCCACAATAGCCTCCCCACTGCTCCTCCTAGTCCTTCCAGAGCTTCCTTTAGCTGTGGTTCTCAAACTTGACCTCAGAATCACCTAGATGTTCAGCTGTTAGGACTCAGCAGGTGGAAGGAGGTCAAGGATTTGCAACTCTGGTAAATTTCTAAATGTTGCTCATGCTGCTGGACTGGGACCGTACTTTAAAACCACCCCCTTAAAAATAGAGAACTCATGCTATTTTGAACTCCCAGTTCAAAAACTTGACTTGTTCCACATTGCCTAAAAATTCACTAGATATTCTTTAGTCTGTCTTCTCAAGTCTTCCATTTGTAACTCCAGCTTACTTTGCCAGGCTTGCTTCTGATGGATCCCCTTTGTGGTCAACCTTGCTAATCCCTACACTGCCAGGGCGAGCCACACAGGGCCTGATACTTGCTAGCTTTCCAGGAAGACCCTTACTCTGATTAAAGCTCTACTTTCTCATCTCCAGGATGGGCATATATTGTGTCTTTCCATGGCAGTTCTGAGAATTAGCAACATCTAAGCAGGAACAAATATCTTGCATGGGCCCTAGTGGATGGGGAGGGGGCAACTGCATTATAGTTATTTATCTTGTTATTTAACTACAAATCTGGTGCTATTTTCTTAGAAGAGCCAAGCAAAGCAGTAAGTCACTAAAACACACACCTCACACTCTATTATACCAAACCATAAGAAACCAGTTATCAAGAATTTCAACAATGGACAACCAGGGAAGGATATTTATAGAAAATTCCATTATAAGGGAACATGTTAAAAATGTTTACATTTTGGCATGCAACTATTATATGTGAAGCAATTCTTTTTCTTTCTTTCTTCCTTTTCTATTTTCCTGTAAGTCACAGTGACTCTCAACTGTTGATGAATAAGAAAACAATTAGCTGTTTTTTGGGGGGAAGGGGGTGGGGTTCAGGTCAGTTATTCAATAGCCAATGCAATGGTGCTCAGTTTGGGGAAAAGTGTAAAGCAGCATAAAACAATGTTATTATTAGCATATCCTTTACTATACTTACAGGATAGTGTTTGCTAGCTGAGCAGAGTTGTGAAGAAATGTGTGAATACTAAAACATAGAAATTCACAGTAAAGGGTATTAATATTACCATATTTTGCTTTTAGAGGTAGGAAACTTCTGCTGAGACACTGAAATGACCAGTTTTGAATTGAGAAAATACACCTAAACTAGGACTTAGGGGCAGATAACTTCATGCAAGAAGAGAATTTCCACAAAACAAAAATATAAAAAATTGCTATAGGGTCTCTGGAAATAATATTGGATCACTGTAAGAAAATGGGAATAAAGTGACACTGGGAATAGTAACAACTAACTTACTTATCGAGCTCTTTCTGTGTGCTTAGTACTAGTGAGTTCTAAATGAATTAAGTTTTCCCTCACAACATTCTATAAAGTGGATAGTATTACTCCACTTTCCAGGAAACTGAATCAAAGAAATGAAACAGCTTGCCCAAGGTAACAAAGTTAGAAATGGTGGAGGAGGAACCCGAGTCTAGATTGTCAGGTTACAAACTCATGTTCTTCACCTCTATTCCTTCACCCTGTTGATCATTCAACAAGCAGGCAGAATTATGACACTAATGCAAATATCTGCATCCATATGCTATTCTCGGAGCCTACTGAATGTTATTAGCAGGAAGAGATGGACTTTGCTGTAAGATAAGTTCTGCATTCCTAGTGAGGTTCTTAGAGTTAGGCAACCATGAACAAGAGACTTGATCCTCTAAACTTCAATTTCAGAGATCAAAACTGATCATGTGTAATATGTATTTGATAGAATTACACCTGATAAAGAATATGCCTGACAGAGTTAACTTAAGGAGTCATTCATGCAACCAACAATTATTTTTGTGAGTTTGCTAAATACTATGGCATTGTGCTAAAGTCAAATAATGACATAAACAGAGTGATCACACAGGAAACTGAACTTCGAGGGCCCACTTGTTGTGGGGAAAGGGAGGGCTATCCCGAGTAAGTCAAATAAGAGCTGAGAGAGGAATAAAAATTAAATAGGCAAAAAAGCACCACAGATAGCGAACAGCTGCCTTGAAGCTTGCTATGAACTCTGGTCTTTATCCTATCAATCAGGGGTTACTGGCAGATTCAGAGCACGGCAATGTAGATGAAATTATATAATAATGGGAGTGCCTAGGCACAATGCCAGAGTGTAGTAAGATCCCCCACCCTTCCATTCCAAAAGCATCTCTGCTCTGACTCATTCTGTTTAAATAAAAGGACTGAATGCAAGACTCTTGACTGTCACAGCCTTAGACATCAATTAGTATTTATAGTCCTACTCACTCCAGGATCATTACCAAACATTATGAAGAATATAAAGATGAATAACAGATCCTGATCTCCTAGAATTTATAATGTAGGTATGAAAATAAGATGACTGAAGGCTTCAAAAACAAGGTTCCCTTTCTTTTCAGGATAAAGTCCCAATTCCTTAGCTCCAAACCCTTTCAGGATACAGCCTTTGCAGACCTGTCCTACCTCCTCTACATCTCCAACAGCAGTCACCTTAGCAAGTCTAGTAACGAGATGTCTGCTTCTCCAACCTTTGTAGATGCTGTGCCCTATTTCCCATAGAGCCCTTGCCACCAGGTACAAGCAATAAGTCCGACTCATCTAAGCTTTTACAATGTGTCAACTATTCCCTCCAGGCAGCCTATCCTGATTTTTCTGGGGTAGGCAGCTCTCCTTAACCTTATAGCTTTTATCATATTGTTATAATTATTGGCAAGTGGGATTCCTATTCTAGATTCATTCCCAGAGGGCAGGAAGCAAATTTGTTTTATCCATCTTTGTACTACTTACCAATCCCCAAAAGAATATCTGATATAGTTGGAATATTTTAAAAAATAAAAGGTGACAGGTAGGGGAAGGTGGGAAAATTGGTAGAGAGAGAGAGAAAGGAGCAAAGGAGGGGACTGTCATAGGATATAATAATTATCACTGCATTTTGAAGATTAAACCCCGTTTTTTGGTAGTAAATTGTATATATAATGAATCTTAAGTGTATGATTTTGAGTTTGGCAAAGGCATACGCCGACACTTTAGAAACTGGTTGTAACACTTTACTCTCCCAACAGCAGTATGTGGCAGTTCCAGTTACTCCACATTCTTACCAACATTTGGTGCTATGTCTTTTTAATTTAGCCATCCCAGCTTAGGTAAAACAATATCTCAATGCAGTTTTAATTTGCATTTTCCTGATGACAACTGATGCTGAGAAGGCCTCTTCATGTGTTTGCTGGTCAT